GTCATTTGCGTCTAAGTAAAGCAAATACTGAGCAAGATGTTTGGGAGAATCAAAATCTCGAACATCAATGTAGGAATTTGGAATAGCGAGGTGCTTGATTAGGGGNGTGGCGTTATCAGTGGATAGATTTCTGGCCATTAAGCTTGCTTTGAGGTATAGATCGCTTATAACAGTCAGAAGAGTCGTTATGTGTAATATTTTAATATGGCTTTTTTGCGGACTATTTGAAGCATCGCACTGGACAAGTATATCAAAAGAAATACTCCACTTGGTGGATCTTCATCTTCAAACGACAGTTCCACTGGCTATACTTTGCGTTGTCTACACAGCGACTTACATTGAATTCCGTCGATATTCAAGAAACGCTACGATCTTGCATCAGGACAGTGGTGGGAGAAGGCGCTTTTTTGTTCGGAACATCCGATCGGAGAAAAGGATCGTTTTGACAATTATTCTAGTCATAGTCGTGCTCTTCATATCACTTATGCCTTATCTAATTGTTACTAATCTGAGAGAGCAGTGTCTCCAGGAAGAAAGCAATGTTTGTAGTGAGCTAGCTTTTGAAGTAACAAGAGCTCTGTCAATATCGATGTTGTGCGTCAGCTGCGCTGTAAACCCGTTTCTATACGCGTGGAGAATACCGCAGTACAGACAGGCGCTAAAAGCTGTTTGGAATGCAACTTTCAGCCGATGTAGGCGACGGAACTGAACTGCCTGTAGAAGTGCTCTGGCGTCTGAGAGGGTAACTGAACAGAACAATCCCGGAGGGGATCAGATTCAACCAAAGAACGAGTGACTGAAATTGCCAAGACCCGGGCACGAGACTTAAATCCTATAATTCGTGTGCAAAAAGGTCATTTTGCTGCTTATGGAGTATGTCCGACTAGACATCGAGACTCCATTCAATCGTCCTTGATCTTTCTATTCAGGATTCTGTATTTAGGGTTATCATTTTAAAAATTGTAAGGTTTGTTTGAAGAGCTCAAGCCCTGGTTTTTAAAGCTAGAGAGTAAAGTGCCTTTAAGACGAATTTCAAAGCTTAACGACGAAAAGAGGAGCATCTCTCCCTATTCCGCACTTTTCATTACTTTTTGGGATGACGCCATAAAAAATCTATGTAAATTTTAAGGCGATTGAATGTAGACAGGGGAAATGAAGCTTTGTCTTTCAGAAATTAACAACTCTGTGAGTAATGAATATTGTTTCCAGGTGGTCTTCTATTTTCGAAAGACTGATAATTACACGATTTAAATCTTAGAAATACGATCTAAATCTATTTGTAAATACACAAGATCCTAATGAGATAAAAAAAACTCTTCAAACTCTTTTTGTTCTAGTGACCCTACTCAACAGTGCATGGAGGAAATTGTATTTAGCTGTGATAGATAACTCAGTGAACAGCGTGAGACAAGATGATCAAAAAGTCTTAATTAGTTGTCTTTCGTGTGAAAATGACGAAGTCTGTCTGATCTCCTACACAGCAAATGTATCCATTGTAAAAGCGCCAAGTACAAGTGACAGGTGCTCACCATATTTGCCTTCAAATGTGAAAAATTAAAGCTTAAGTACGCTGTTTAAGATTTTATCAACAACTGCGGAACGGTTCAATTAAGCTAGACGGTAAGACCTTGGAAATTTGTTAATTTAAAGCATTAGAAAAAAAAGGGGGAAATGTATTTAATAAAATAAATTAATACATAAATATGTCTCCCACCAAAAAATCGAACTCGGACACTGTTTGCAGAGATCTGAGTATATCCATATCGCTATTACGTCACTAAATAAAGAAAATTCGGAAAAAAAAAGCTACTTATACCATAAGCTGAATTTAGCATTTGGGAAGTAATCACATTTTCAGCAAAGTTTATCAGATCATTGGCTTATGCGCCCGTTCTGACATTTACTAAATTGAAATGTACTTCGAATGTTTCAGATTGGTGCTATGATCAACTTGAAGACTGAATTTGAGGGGTCTTTGAAACGTCCAGGCGTAAACATAACGAGGAGCACCCTAAAGGTGTAATCCAGGGTTCGATATAGTAGCTCGTTGGCGGCAGCAGCCGTATCTTTTAGCACACTTGCCGGGAATTTTTCACAAAAGAACTAGAATTTTATAGAAAATATCATGCATATTGATAGTCCAACTGAAGTAAAAGTCGCTGTCATGTTATGATGAACATTACATATCAGACAATAAAGCAGCCAAGAAATGTTTTACAAGCTTTTAGGAAACGAAATTTGAAGGGCGCTAAAGATAGATTATTGTTTAAAGTTTTCAGCTTTCTACGTACTTGTTCAATCGTGAAACATGCAAGTTTGCGTACACACCGTCACATTACCGTGTTTATGTTTCTGCACATACACACTACCTTTAATCAACATTTATTTTCCGCCAAATCCTGTTTAATGTCTCTTGTAAAGCCTTCTCGAGTGTTCAAATTAAAGTCGGAACTTGGCAGAAAGGATTTCCCATGAGTGTGTAGGAAGAAGCGCGACAGTTTGGACATAGTTGTTCCTTTCACTATGCTTTGTTAGAAAGGGAATTGCCGCAACGAAACGTTTTGATGGAAATAAAGATTTTGATGCTGAAATTATTTTAACAATTTAATCATGTTGAGTGTTGAAGACGTGCTGACTGCTCATTTATTATTGACAGCCTTCAAAAAAGGGTAAAAATTTTCGCTTAAAGCTGAAAAATTATTTTGAACCCTAGTGAGCAATATGTATTTTTTTCGAGCCAGCTTCTTTGATGAAATTTTGTTTCCCTATTTTTGGATGGAAAGGCTACTTACTTCGCACAAGATTTCGTTTCGAGCTTATTTCTGCTGGAAATTTTTTTTCTTCTGAATTCATCCAGCCTCCCATTTATAATCAAACGGCGTAGTTTGATCATACTCAGATTTAAAATGCGATGCTGACAGAGAAGCCAGCTGCACATACGCAGCGAAAAATGACCCATCACATACTCAAGTACTGTGATTTTTATACTTGCAATGTTTCTACTTTCTCTCGCTTTTTGACACCTAAGTTTGTTGGTAGCAACTTTAAAATTATATATCTCTTTAATACCTTATCCAAGAGTTGGCCACAGGCACCCTTTGATTTGACATGTGAAGATCCATGAAGTGGAGATATTACGGGTTTGAAACTGTAGAAATTATTATAGGCATTAGCATCCATAGTGATGAACGTAACACATCTTTGGGGCACCTGCAAATTTCCCTTTAAAAACTTATAATTTAAAATTCGTGATTCAAAAATCAAATTCAAAAATTGTATACTCGTCACTAGTCTGCTTGATTTGGTACTGATATTGTAAGAAGAAATTTTGTCTTATTGATTCATAGTAGTTTAGTGCTTATTTTATTAAGGCTTTAAAGATCGCGGTGCTCGTTTTATCGCACTTTCTTTCCATGTATTAAGACGGAAAAATCCTCAACTTGAATTTCTATGTCCTCGCAATTCCCGTATAATGAACCAGCATTTGACTGAGTCAGCCTTTTTAAGACGATATAGTTACAATAACATTTATATTTTTATTTGACCGCTAGTAACTGGCCTCCTGCAGCGTTTAATGGCGTTTGAAATAATCATGGCTAGGTAGGGCACAGCGAACGAAGATCATTTCTTAATACTGAAGAACATGAAAAGTTCGGAGATGTTAAAATACCTGACAACTACCATCTTTGTTTTTTCCATAGTTAGTAGAGGGAACTGGTTATGAAACCCGGCTATGTTTTTTGCAATGACCAGGCGGTTCGCTAAGAAGTATGAAAACAAGGGAAAGCTCTTTTTTCTGAAACCCCCATTTTGCATGAATTTTGAACTCTATTCTGTCATTTAAATCGTCTTAAGAACAGCAAAGCAAACACTAGTTGGCGGTACTACGCTTTAGTTTCACTCGCGTAATGATGATCTTAATCAGGAACACGCTTTAATGAGCAATAGTTAAACATGTGATCATAGTCATAAGAAAAAAATGCTCGGCTATTTTCCTAAGAGTTTGATCATTTTTTTACTATGTGCCTCGGCGTTCCCACCACATTTAATAAGCAACGTACACACCCCGTACGGTTATCATCATGATTGTTCTGTCGCTAGCGGAGATCCAGCTTTAATAAAATAACGAAAGGCGCAATAACCAGGATTGAAATGGCAGTTGATCACTTCCTGCCAAGAATGAAAATAATAGTGTTGCATGCATTTGAAATTGTCCTCAGTATTCAAAGTTGGTACGGTTTACATATTATGCCGTATGTTCATGAAGCTGGCGCAAAATCGAAGCCGGTACGAGTCACTAACTGCTAGAGTAATACCTACTTAGGGGGGAGTTTTGAACACCATAGAGGGCAGGAAAAAGAACCTTCAAACTACATAATGGCTCTAATTGCGAACTGTGAGAAGCAAAAAGTGATTGGCATAGAAATAGGAATTTGATACAAAGGTTTTAATCTACATGAGGCATTCAACTGACAAGCAAGAGAACAAACTTTTATTGGCAAACAGAAGCCTGTCAAAAGTTATTTTGAGAGTTATATTTATTTTTCTCCTTCCATAATCGTTTGAATAGTATTCATATTTTTGATTGATGGTTTCAGTTTTTCAGCAATTTTTAGCCGGCTCGATCAATGGAAAGACTAAAAGTGTTATGCCGGATATTATATATGCTAATAGGCTTCTGTTGTGAGCTTTACATTTTGCGGCATGGTTTGTTATTGAAGATCAATTTCGAGTGATTTTGTGATGACCCAAAATAAGGAAACTAATTCGGAGATGATCTTGTATTTATCAAACAAAAGACAAGAAAGAAATGCGAATAAAGACGACTTAAATGGGATTTCCGCAGTTTACAGCCTAAAAAGTTGATATTATCAAAGGAATCGCACCAAATAAAAAACACTCAATCAAAATTATTATTGAACTTTTTCTATTTCATTTTAAGATGAGAGCATTGGGATTGATAAGCTTTCTACGCAATGAATTAAGAATGATGTCTGGAACGGAACATACAAGGGTCGGCACTTATTTTATGTGTCTTTTTTCGGTGGTTAACCTCACTGTCCTTTAAAATGATTTGTCACAAAGACATTGCCACAGATGACCAAAGATTTCATAAATATTTAAAATGGTATGTCAGGTAAATTAGCCTTTTTGGTTCAGCTTCTAGAATGCACTAGCTTAGAAATTTGTAGACGCGTATCGAAATCTTTTTTAGATTGTGTTGGAGGAGAGCAGTTAAAAATACAACTATAGTGCGCTCGTTTACGTGGGTTTTGCGATAATTTCAATGAAAGATTATAATTAACATTATTGTTTTAAGCTATGCCAGAGGATAAATATTCTAGTGTTCATTTCCTCTTGCCATGTTGGCTGTTTTTATACTTTCTACTTGCAAATTATTCATTAGTCATCGACTTAGCCACTGAGAGATTGCATAGGGGAAATGATTCAACTTTGAATTAGCTTTTTCTTGAGTAATTCACGCAGGTTTCTCAATGGCTCTCTATTGCTGTGAACAGAATTTTGTCCAAATATTAATGCAAATGATGTGATGTTCATCAAGAGAACGTCAGGGCCGACCATTGTTGTAATTGGACCCTCGTCCATTCGTATACTTACCAAGTAACTAATGTACATGGGTTACAATAAGGACACTCAAAAAGGATTTATCCTGTTTCACCGGACGTTGGAGAGATTTCAATAGTAATGCTGTTTGTTGGTGTTGCATGAACAAATGAGATATTGAAGTTTATCTTTCAAGAAAGGTGTCGCAGGTTACGATATACTAGCGTAGCTTCAAAACGATTTGCCTTTCATGTGACCACGCTGTTCTTTGGTTAACCTCAGCCATATTGATCATCAAATCAAGAGTTTTTACATAAAAGCTTGAGCAGTCGCCATCGGTTTTAATAATGACCGAGACTGACGAACAAGGACATTTTGACGGAACAGCACCAGTGGCGCTTTTAGCAGGAGTCTGTAGCGCATTGTTAGGGTTAGTTTCATTCGCAACAAACAGTGTTCTTCTTTTGACTCTTTTCAAAGATCCGTATAATTATTTCCGAGCGCGCCCCACGACTTTTTTCGTTGCAAGCCTTTCGTTAAGTGATTTTCTTGGGGGAGCTTTCGTGCAACCTTTGTACGCAACATACATGCTTTGCCTTCCATGCGGAGTTAAGATATCGAACTTATTCAAGATTTGTATGATTTCTTCTCATATTAGCACCAAAATATCAATTTTTACGGTCGTCGCGTTATCAGTGGATAGATTCCTGGCCGTTAAGCTTATTTGGAGGTATAGATCGCTTATGACAGTCAGAAGAGTCATTATATGTAATATATTAATATGGCTTTTTTGCGGACTATTTGAAGCATCGCACTCGACTAGTATATCAGAAGAAATACTCCACTTAGTGGATCTTCATCTTCAAACAACAGTTCCACTGGCTATACTTTGCGTTGTCTACACAGCGACTTACATTGAATTTCGTCGATATTCAAGAAACGTTACGATCTTGCATCAGGACAGTGGTGGGAGAAGGCGCTTTTTTGTTCAGAATATCCGATTGGAGAAAAGGATTGTTTTGACAATTATCGTGATCATAATCGTGCTCTTCATATCACTTATGCCTTACCTAATTGTTACTAACTTGGTAGAGCAGTGTCGCGAGGAAGAAAGCGATGTGTGTAGTAGAGCAGCCTTTAAAGTAACAAGAGCTCTGTCAATATCGATGTTGTGTGTCAGCTGCGCTGTAAATCCGTTTGTATATGCGTGGAGAATACCGCAGTACCGAGAGGCGCTGAAAGCTGTTTGGCGTGCAACTTTCAGCCGATGTAGGCGACAGAACCGAACCACACGTAGAAGTGCTCTGGCGTCTGAAAGGGTAATTGAACAGAACACTCCCGCAAGGGATCAGATTCAACCAAAGAATGACTGACTGAAATCGCCAAGACTTGCGCACGAGAGTTTAAGGCTATAATTTCTATTCAGGATTTTGTACTTTTTTTCTGGAAGGGTTATCGTTGTAAAAATTCTTAGGCTTGTTTCAAGAGCTCAAGACCTAGTTTTTAAAGCTCGAGTGTAAAATGTCTCAAAGACGAATTTGAAAGCTTAACGATGAAAAGAAAAACACATTTCAATCATCCGCATTTTTCATTACTTTTTCGGGATGAGGCCAAATAAAAACTATGGAAATTTGAGTGCGATTGATGAATGTAGACAGCGGAAATGAAGCTTTGTCTTTCAGAAATTAACAAATCTCTGAATAATTAATATTTATTCCAGGTAGTCTTTCATTTGCGCAAGACTGATAAGAACACGATTTAAATCTTAGAAATACGATCTAAATCTTAGCCGGAAATACTTAAGATCCTAATGAGATCAAAAACTCTTCAACCTTTTATTTTTAGTGACTCTACCCAAACATTGCATTTAGCTGATAGATAACTCAGTGATCAGCGTGAGACAAGGTGATCAAATGGTTTTAATTAGTTGTCTTTCGTGTGCAAGTGACAAAGTCTGGTGGATCTTCAAAGCAAATACATCCATTGTAAAAGCACCAAGTACAAGTGACAGGTGCTCACTATATTTGCTTTCATGTGTGAAAAATTAAATTTTAAAAAATCTGTTGTCAGATTCTATCAACAACTGCGGAAGGGTTTAATCGCGCTAGACGGTAAGACCTTGGAAATATTTTTATACACGGAACTATACAGCGAGATATCGCAAAAAGTTTTAGACATTTTCACTCCTTTGACTGAGCGACAGTGGAACATACTTCACTTACCCGCGGCGAAAAAAAGGCGCTATAATGGACTTGAGTGTTTTTAAGTGAAATGTGTCTCTTTTTCCCTACTCTGAATTACTGGGGTAGATTAATGAGTTAGATGAACCAAACCTTTTTTCGAAGTTTTCTTTCGATGGAGATAAATTTACCGTATTCAAACCTAAAGTAAACCACAACCAAAAACTTTTTATCACAAACTGACTGATCTTCCTTAATTTTGGGCAATTACATTCAATTACATTCAATTCAAAAGATTTCACAGGGCTCCAAGCGGGTCATTATTGAGGCGATTAGAGCCATTCTCGCTTCAACATCATGATCAAAAAACCTTTCAGATTTCATCACCAATGGCAATTAGTCTATCCAATCGGTGATAAAAATGAAAAACTTGAGATAAATACAAACTGAATGTTTTTTCCAGGTTTTTAATGATTTCTTTAGCTTTTATTTTCTAAAACAAGCTTGTTTGCAGTTGAAGGGATGGGAAACTCCTCAATTTTCGAAACCGAAAAGAGGGATTGTTCGATATCTTGTAAGCTGCTATGGTGGCTGAAAAACCATTTCGTTTCGTAAAGAAGCTAGTAAATGCTAACGTACCGTAAATTTACCAGACAAATTAGCGTGATTTATTGGTCTCAACATGGGAAACGTAAAGGTTCTCGTCCGAAGTCGTGAATAATGCAAAATATACCCTTCATTGATATTCCATCATACCCCTGCTGTGCATTTTACAAACTGATTACCTGAACGCACTGAGAATATATTGATCAGAGAAAAGATACCCTTACAGTCGAACCGCAACACAGCCTCGGCAGAAGAAAATGATCTTCGTTCAGAGGAGAAAAGTTACAGGAAGGAAGAAGTGAAATATGACTTTTTTTTTTAACCGAGGGTACAGTTTTCTATCGGTTTAACCTTCGAACACCTAAGAGTAGTAAGCAGCTAATGACTCCTATGCAAGAGATGTTGATGGTATGTATACTGACTAGCCTCGTTTTCGATTATTTTCACCACCAGTCCATCTGCGCGAGCAGAGCTGTCCCCCATTTTTCGAATCGGTGTGACTCCTATGCAAGAGAATTACCCCTAAATCAACACATTGACTGAGATGATGGGAATGAAGGGAATGATCGCAAACTCAAAAAAGCTTTTGATTATTGGGCAAATACTCCCTGTAAGAATCATAGGAAATGTATGGAGAGCAGTATGCATACTGATGTTAGGGTCTGAAGGGTCAAAAGATGCCTGTTGAAGGACATTGATACAAACTACCCCAAAATAAATCAGCGCAAAAGAAACTACATATTCAGAGTGTTCAGAAAAAAAGTGTTTGTGAAATAAAGCGGGTAATGTAAAGTGAGTCTATTTTGTTTATATGCTTTTCTTGCTTCTTTCTTTTCGTTTATTAACCGGTCGTAGTAGAGAAGTTGGTTTGGTAATTAGGGTTCTTTCTAGTGGAATTTGAAGATGTAAAGAGATGGCCATTTAACAAGAAGTTGAAATAGTAACAATGACTGTATGAACCTTCCACCGGGGCAGACGAAAAAAATTGCCATTGTAAGGAAGTGACCGTCAGTGGAGGTTATTTAAAGACAAAGATGATTGCTGGAAACATGATATATCAAAGCGTTCCTGTTTTTTTTTTGGTCAAAAAATGAACTATTAATATTAAAGATGAATATCCGAAATATGTCCTGTAAATTTGATCAAATAGACAAATATGACTCGTTAACGGTCAACTGACAAACTGACTAGCGATCTTAACTTCAAAAACTGTCATTAAATTAAAGGGTTTCTTGCTAAAAGGACGGATAATTAGCGAGTTTGACTAGCTGAAAAAATCAGAAACAACAACAACAACAATTTATTTTGCATTAGGGTGGGGGTTACAATGATTAAAAATTACTCAAGAAAAATAAAGAAAAAGAAAAACCTTGCATAATTGACACTGCCCGCAAGTAGCACAGGCTAGTCGCGGCGGGCAGTGACAACAAACAAAAACAAAAAGATTTTAAAAAGAGAGGGAAAGTTGTTTTCCAAAGACAGCCTCAGAATATTTTGATCTCTCATCTCTCATCTCAAGAACTTAAACATTCACAGAATGAAAAACGACGCAAAGCTAAAAATGTAGCCAGATGATTCATTTTTAGTTATGCAATCCCTCATGGCATAGGTTAGAACATAAAATGGACCAAATGATCCTTGAACGGTTGGACTGACCAGGTCTCCTTTTTTCTTTTCTTTTTTTTCATTATTCTTGGGCAATGCTGGGAAGGAAATGACAGTAATTAAGTGGAGGTCATTTAACGACAAAGGTGATACACATCATGCTCCTTTCAGAGAAAAACGACAATGAAAGGACTGTGTTTATCTGCGCGCCTCAGTAGCTCAGTGCTTCCGGCTAGTTCAAAATTTCATGCAAAAAAAAAGCAGATTACAATCAAAGTGAAACTGATTTAAATTAAAGTTAGTGGTTAGATAAATATCATACAGTTCCTGGTTGTTTGGCAAAAAGAGCGAAGTGAGAGATGTAAATCTGTTTTTTATTTTGCGAACTAGAATCAAACAACTAAATTAACTTGTTTACAGTCAGTTGATGACCTAATTAGCTGTCCTAATCTTTAAAAACTCTCATTAATATAAGGGGTTTCTTGTATAATTTTCCAATCTTTTCGAATCATAAAATTCTGACTGCACTCAGACGAGATATTCAATGTGAAAAGTTTATTTAGGATGAGTCAGCCAGTCTTGCCGGTAGTATATGCATCCTAAGACATTCTGCAAAGCACTGCATGTGAAACTGAAGGGTTCTACAAAAAGAGCCTGTGCTACGCCAGATACGAAAAACCACTAAAAAAAACCACTCTTTCGAAAAAAATATGTGGAAACGTATTCCTCATCTAATGCAGCAGCACGATACCCCGCGGAAAGGGTAACTAGCCTAGTTACGCTGCTCATCATTACATCAAATAATAAAAAAGAAGGTGGTCAAACTAAGACAGGCCGACCTAGAATGACTTAATTTTCCCGCTAAACGCTTAAACAATCTGAAAGTACCATGATGCCGCGTGAACCTCTTCAACCTCCCATCAGAATATTCATTTCTGACTAATTCGTTCCCATGTCGCTCAAACGTCAGAAATTACATTTTGAATTATCCGATAACAGTTGTATGACTGCATAATTAGTGAGCTTGACACCATGGAAGAGATCATAAGAAAACTTCAAAGGTCAGATAATTACTTGATTAATTAGAACCAATTCCATTTGTGCCAGTGGGACGTTTGCTTTGAAAAGTAACGACAACAGCCTTGACATCATAGATTAAGGGAGTGGACAAGTTTATATTTTCAGACGACTCTCTTGGAGTTACATGCTTAAGTTAAATACGACTATCAAGAGAAAAAACTCAGCATTCTCTCGAAAGTGTATTGCACGTAGGACGGGAATCCTGGAAGGAGAGTGCAGAAAGATGAATTGCTCATCCCCTTCCCATGTAATATTTTGGAGAAACAGACATTAATTCGGGATCCGCAAAAATCAGAACCCTCTTCAACTTACTGAGCTGTCCGTGAAGAATGAAGAAGTCTCCACAGGTCGATGAAGTCTCTTTGGAGCTAATTGTCCCTTCCTTAACTCCCATATTTCCATTATCGTCATGAAGAAACGGCTCCACTAGAAAGTAAAACTGAGAGAGAATTAAACGAACATTTCATATCCAGTCAAGGGATGGTACTAACAGCAGAAGCTGAAGAACTAAGCGACGAGGAGTGGCGTTTGCTGTACGAGGACATTTTCAAGCCTCTCGACTTTTATTCCATTTTGCATAGACGCAGTGAAAAAGGAAAAAACCTTCCCAAGGAATACTTTAGAAAAACATAAGTTTGTCTGGGATCCGCAAAAATCAGAACCCTCTTCAAGTTACCGAGCTTTACCTGAAGAATGACATGAGAACTTTCTCTACAGGTTGATGACGTCTCTTTAGAACCAACTGTCTCTTCCTTAACTCCATATTTATAGCACTACTAGAAAGTAAAACTGAGAGAGAATTAAACGAACATTTCATATCGAGTCAAGGGATAGTACTAACAGCTGCAGCTAAAGAACTAAGCGACGAGGAGTGGCGTTTGCATGTGCGAGGTCATTTTCAAGCCTCTCGACTTTTATTCTATTTTGCACCAACGCAGTGAAAAAGCTTTTTCCTTCTCAGATCTCTAGTTCATACTGAGGTGTTTCTTTTCGTGATGAAATAATTGAGGAAGTTGATCATGACTTGAAAAACTGAATACAGTAAACATAAACCTAACAATGGACATTATGAAATACTTATTGAAAAGGAATATGTATCGTTTTGTTGTGGTTCCGAAAATGATCCAAAGTGTGGTCTAAGAAAATAGTCCTATATTCCAAGGG